ATTTTTAAATGTTGTGCTCATATTGAAAGCTATAAGATTCAGGGTGTAATATATGCATTGAAGTTAATATTTTATGAGCACTATGTATATTCAAGAACAATTATAGCAATCAGTCCAAGCATATTGTAACATACAACTTCCTTGTTTCTATTCATCATGTTTTATACTACTGGGTTACATTTTCTCCAACAGAAGTCATGTTTCTTATTAATACCACCATTGACAGTTTTAAAAACTAAGAGTGATTTAGGCCAGAACATTTCAAATATTAGCATTTATAGTATTTTTTGATATATACACACTAAAAATTTTTTCTCATAAATATTAGAGCTTGGAAAGAGATGTTTCCCACCATATTTCCTTTTGATCTCTGCAAGAAGGGGAAACTCAAGGCTTACCTTTCATGGCCTTTTCTTTTGAATACCACAGGCCGTTTCCAAACATCACCAAAAAGCTGTGCAATAGCTGTTTATTTCCAGACATGAGCATTAACTTGATATCAGTACCACTAATATATCAGAAAACATATAAACGTGAGTAGTATTTGTTACAGGGAACAACTTTTCTTAGCATTATGATAAAACTAATAGTAGTAATGTTAGTCTATGCTGTGTTTCTATGTTCCATGTTAACTCTATGACATAATAGATACTTTTTTAAAGTATCGATCATAATCATTATGTATGTGGACATGTGCACATATATGTACATATGTCTTGGATTATGTAGAGATCAGAGGATAATTGTGTGAAGTCACAGTTACGTGGATTCTGGGAATTAAACGTAGATTTTCAGGTCTGGCATTGCTTTTTTTTGTTCCATGCAACTATATTTTTTTTATTTTTTATTTTTTTTATTGGATGTTTTATTTACATTTCATATGTTGTCCCCTTACCCCATCCCCCACCCACCCAGGAACCCCCAATCCCCTCACCCCTCCTCCTTCTTCTCTGTGGATGTAACCTCTATCTACACCCCCCACTCCCACCTCCCCACCCTCAAAATTCCCACCCCCTGGGGCATCCAGCCTTCATGAGGTCAAGGTTCTCTTCTTCCACCTATGCCCAGCAGGGCCCTCCACTCTTACATATTCAGTTAAAGCCCTGGATCCCTCCCTAAGTGCTCCCAGGCTGGTGGTTTAGACCCTGGGAGCTGTGGTTGGTTGGTATTGTTGCTCTCCTCATGGTGCGGCAAATCCTTTCAGCTCCTTCAGTCTTCACTCTAACTCCTCCATTGAGAACCCCATGATCAGTTCAATGGCTAGTTGTGAGCATCTGCCTCTGAATATGTCAGACTCTTTGCTCCAAATGCAAGGGCACCTACATACATAAAAGAAACTTTACTAAAGCTCAAAACACACATTACACCTCACACAATAATAGTTGGAGATTTCAACACCTCACTCTCAGCAATGGACAGATCATGGAAACAGAAACTAAACCGAGACACTTTGACATTAACCGAAGTTATGAACCAAATGGACTTAACAGACATCTATAGAACATTTCATCCTAAAACAAAGAATATACCTTTTTCTCAGCACCTCATGGTACCTTCTCCAAAATAGACCATAGAATTGGTCACAAAACAAGCCTCTACAGATACAAAAAGATTGAAATAATCCCTTGCATCTTATCATATCACCACAGAATAAGACTGGTCTTTAATAATGACAAAACCAATGGAAAACCCACGTGCACATGGAAACTGAACAACTCTCTACTCAATGATGACTTGGTCAAGGAAGAAATAAAGAAAGAAATAAAAGACTTTTTAGAATTCAATGAAAATGAGGACACATCATACCAAAACTTGTGGGACTCCATGAAGGCAGTGCTAAGAGGAAAGCTCATAGCTCTAAGTGCCTACAAAAAGAAACTGGAAAGAGCACACACTAACAAGTTGACTGCACAACTAAAAGCTCTAGAACAAAAAGAAGCAAATACACCCAGGAGGAGTAGAAGGCAGGAAATAATCAAACTCAGGGCTGAAATCAACCAAATAGAAACTGAAAGAACAATACAAAATATCAATAAAACCAGGAGTTGGTTCTTTGAGAAAATCAACAAGATAGATAAACCCTTAGCCAGATTAACCAGAGGGCACAGAGACAGTATCCAAATTAATAAAATCAGAACTGAAAAGGGAGACATAACAACAGAAACTGAAGAAATTCAAAAAATCATCAGATCTTACTACAAAGGCCTATACTCAACAAAACTGGAAAACCTGGATGAAATGGACAATTTCCTAGACAGATACCAGGTACCGAAGTTAAACCAGGAGCAGATAAACCATCTAAATAGTCCCATAACCCCTCAGGAAATAGCAGCAGTCATCAAAAGCCTCCCCACTAAAAAAAGCCCAGGACCAGATGGTTTTAGTGCTGAATTCTATCAGACCTTCAAGGAAGACCTAATACCAATTCTCTTCAAACTATTCCACATTGCTTTTTAATAACAGGTCTTATTTGGTAGTTTCTAATTCAGAGCTAATATGCTACTCTCCTCTACCCTCTTGTCTCATGAGTCATTTCAGTGAGGCAACTTTTATCAATTAATTATAAATGGTATGTTTGTATCAGAGCTAAGCTGAAAAATCCACTACATTATTGCAGTAAAACAAATGTGTTGTAGATATTGTTAATTACTCTCATCTTTAATTAACAAAAAATGTAGAACAACTAAAAAGTTGTTTGACAAAATCCTACTTGTTAAATACCGACACTTTCCCTGTCCTTTCCATATGAGTAATTACATGTTAAATATATATATGTATCTGCATTTAAAATGTACTCAGTAGAGAAAAATCATTAGGCTGTACAGTCTATCCAATACAGCTTTAATTTTTTCAACATCTGTAGTATACTAATATTCATGATGGTTAGCATTTAAAGAAGACTGCATATTGTTGAGCTGAGCATATTATTGATAGTTTTCTGTGTATTATCTCTGGAATGAAAATTGTAGTTTCCTAGACTCCGGTAATGAACAGATCTTGGAAGTGTATACATTTTTTGTAAGTTTGGTTTATACTATGTATATGTGTCAGTCTATGAGAATGTTTAAAAATGTGGTTAGCATTTGGAAATAACTTTCCATTGCCTTTCTAAGACAAGAAGCAGAACATTGCCATTAAATAAAGAGAACTGTTGCCATTGTTTTTTGATAACACCGGACACCTAAATATAACCTAGGGTTTTGTGATGATAATTTCTTTGCTTTCTAGAAATCAATTTTGCATCCACTTTCCCAGATATCTTTCACTTTTTCATAATAGAATCAAACAATGAATTTTCTTTTAAATATTTCTTCTCAGAATTACATTCTGGATGTTTGTTCATGTTAGTGCATGAAGCTAAGGTTCTTTTTCATTATAAGAAAGAATACTCCACTATGTGAGGATGCCCTGATTTATCATCCACATGCCCTTTTATGAAATACATATTATTTTTAGTCTGAACTCTTTTGAATAATAGTACTTTGAAAAAATAGAAACTATTCTATCTAAAACAGTTTTCTTACAGTTCCATAAGAGCCAAATGGAAAACTTGGGTCAACAGAAATTCCTTCTCCTTGCCCTGTAGTTACTCTGTAGGTCAATGAGGTCACAATTGTCATAGATGTTGATAGGCTGTGTGGCAATAGGATCCAGAAGAGATAACAAAGAAAGGACCTGCTGGGTCAGAGGGAAGGAATATTTTCTGTCTTAACCAAATCCCCAGAGTGATTTATCAGCAGATAATTTGAACTATGATTTCAAGCATGCAAGATGGATTTTTCTGTCTTCTTATTTTTGAAGGTATCTGGATCTATTACAGTATTTTATTGTGGCTTCAATCTCTACCTTGTTAATGAAATTAAGAATGTGTAAATGTACTTACTGGTCACTTGACTCTCTTAACTCTTTCTGTGAGTTTTTCATTTTTTAAAAATCTGTCTTTTTCTCACTGCTTTCTACATTTTAAAGAACTTTTAAAAATTTTGACCACCAGTCTTTAAGTTACATGTGATTTTTTTTCTATAGCCTTACCTCTCTGTGGCTGTTCTTTTTGTTCATTTTATAATATAGTTTAGTAATGTGAATATTTAACCTGTGATGTATCATTTAGAGAAAGTTTTAAATTCAGGAGTAAGTCAAATTTTGAAAAGTCGTTGCTCTTCAATTAATATTTGGGGGAGAGTGGCTATATATACACATTTTATTATTTTATTTATGGTTAGTGTATTTTGTGTCTTTTCTAAAATCGTTATTCTCTTTTCTATATATAGTCATTCCTGGATATTTGTGGATTTATTAAAATTACCTATAAATGGTTTCATTCTTTTCTTTCTCTCTCCATAAAATAATATGCCATCTTAGAACTCAATTCTACCATTTTTTTCATACAAAGCAAGTCACAATTCATCTCAGACAAACGAGTGACCACTTATATTTACTTCATGTTGATAGTGTCTGCAGTGCCATATTATGAAGTATTTTTCATATAGTATGTGGCAGTGAACCTGCTAATATGCATGATAGGGCTCTCTGCTTTTTGACTGCCAATGCAACAGATTATCTCATCCCTGTTCCTAATGACATACTTTCTCTATCATGATGGACTGTGGCCCCCTGGAAATACACCAGGGGATACATGTCATTGGGGACAAAATATTTCAGCAGAGAATAGACATCAATGGAATGATCACAACCCTCTTTGGTACCACAAGAATAGAAGTATTGAATTACTATTGAGACACTTTGAGGAGAGCCATTCTAGTTTTGAATCTTGCCACATCCTTCACTGGGGAAAGTCCAGAGAGCAAATAATCATCACCTGGTTGTGACTCTTATTTATTCCCAAGAGGACACTTGATAGACACTGTTGATTGTGTCAAGAGCAATATCCATTAGATAATTTTTGCACATCTGAAAATACCAGAAATGATGTTATAAACAGTTTCTAAAGACACAATTTTCTTTTTAACATCATTTGTTGTACTTTGCAATTCAAAGTGGAAAATATGAAATTCTTCATTAATTTGTATATAATCCTTATTCAAGGGCAATGCTAATCTTCTTTATGTTGTTCCAATTTTAGTATATATGTATGTTGCCAAAGCAAAAACAAAACATAATTTCAATTTATGACTAAAAAACATGTTTTGAAGCTATAGATATCCAATAGATGAATGACATATTTGGTAATGTGATTGTGTACTTTGCATGTGGTATATTCAAGGAAAGAATATACATAAGTGTCATGAAATGATTTTAGAGAAAATGAAGATGATGAACTTATTTTTCACTAAAGTGATGTGTTTCTTTCAGTAAAAAGTTGTTTTAAAATAGTTATTTTATCTATTATATTCTTACAACTTATACAAAATGGAAATCTCTGTTTAGTCAGTATTTAGTCTTATTTGACTTTTGAAAGACTGGGAATTAAAATTTAAGATCCTACATAATATTTTTTATTACTATGATAAAACATTACAACCAAGGCAACTTATGGAATAAACAAAGTTTGTTTTGGGGTTATGATCCCAGAGAGATGAGTCTGTCACAGCAGGGAAGCATAGAAAGTATAGTTGTAGGAACAGGAACCAGAGAGCTTACATCTTGAACCAGAAGCACAAAGCTGAGAGGGTCAAGTAGAAAAGGTAAGTCTTTGAACTCTCAAAGTTCACTTCTAATGTTACACTCCAAAAGGGCCATATCTCCTAATGTTCCCCAAAAGCATCACTAACTGAGACCAAGTATTTAAATGCATATTCTTATACAAACAAGTGCATACAAGATCACTACCTCTATCACTCATTTGCTCAGGCTAACCTTGAATTAGTTTTCTATTCCAGGTTATTCTCTAACACCCAATCCTTTTGACTCTACCCACCAAGTACTGGGATGGCAGATATGTGCCACCACACATAGACACTTGGAATTTTTCGAGAACAATGAATGATAGATGATGCTGATACACTGTCCATTCTTCGAATTAAAGGTTTTTGAAATAATTCATGCATGATGTTTAGAATAGTGGTACAAGCTACTGTCACTTATTTATCTAAGTTTGAAGAAGCCACCCAACACTCATCTAAAATATCTAATATTTGAATGGGATTTCAGTTACACAACAGCATTAAATTGAACAAAGAAATAAATTTTGAGCATTCTCAACACTTGTAGTCTAATAGCAAAATCTCAAAGGTATAAATTCCCCCAGATGTCTTCCATACATGTTGGATACCTTTCACCCACAGTTGCTATCATGAGTACATCTAAAGCTCTGGGATGTGGCTTAATAGTCAGTGAGAAAAAAGGCAACAGTAGATATAGAAGCTGATGTAGAGTGATTCCTGCCAATCGAGCTTAAACTGGATGGTGTTACCTCTCTAATCAGAAGCATCATTCCTTCCAGCTACACTACATATGCTTTTTGTGCTTTGGAAGTAAGTGTCCTTAAGTGAAAACTTCATTTCCTTACATTCCCTTCAGGGCTCTCCTTAGCCTGGTATCACATTATTGCCATCTGTTGTTGATAATTTTTATTATGGAACAGGCTTATCTAAGGTCATGTCCCCCTTTACCAGCAGAACAACACTGGTGGAGTTCAGTATCAGTCTGAACAGAGGCACAAGGGTTGCAGCTGGATATGCACATTCGGGCACTGGGGCAGCCTAAGTTGCCCTCTTACCTCTTTGTTGTAGGAGACTAAATATCTTTTTAGCTTTTTTTTTTCTATTTAGAACCTGTAATAGTTTCAAGAATATAAGGAATGCTATTCTATTGTTTCATTAAAAATTAAGAACCAACTCATTAACTGTATAAGCATTTAAATATATTAGATTTATAAATCATGTATTGCTTCATGACACATAGCTGATGAAAAGTTACAAATGAAAATATAAATATTTTGTAACTATGAGATATAAGTTGTTTGATTAAAAAACCAGCTTGGACACATATACATTGGAGTACAAGTATAGGTTCAATAAGAAATCTTATATATCATTTAACAACTACATACTTCCCTGTTGGTTGATGAACTCAGACAAATTTTGACCAGTTTAATGTTTCCCTTGGAGAAATATTTAGTCAAGCTATTTTCCTAGTTTTAAAATTTTATTTCTTTTTCTTGCTACTAAGGTACATCAAATATTTATTAATTTTTTATCAGACTTGTGGTTTTTAGTATTTTCTAATTTCTAGGTTGCCTTTTTACATTTGGTATTGTCTATATTGCTGTAGCTAACTTTTGAAGGAATCTCACTTATATTTTTCTGTGCTGCTTATGCTTTTAGTATCATAGCCAGATATTAATTGTCAAGATGAGTGTCATAGACCCTGCTCTTCTAGTACCTTGGTGCTTTTAGGTCTTAACTGGAAATTTACCATGCTCTGTTGAGTTTAGTTCATGACATAACATTGAAGTCTGACTTGGTTTTCTCCCAAGTGGAGCCCAGGTATTTCAACAACACTCAGTGAAGAGGCTATATTTGCCTCATTATCCAATTCTTGGAAAATGAATGGAACATTAGCTGTCTGTGTTGGCCTGTCTTTGTCAACTTGACACAAATTTAAGGCATCTGAAAAGAGGAAACCTTAATAGATTTATTGCCTGTCTCATTGGTCTATAGTCTGGCAGTCATTTTCTTGTCTAATCACTGATGTAGGAAGACCTATCCCACTGTGGGTAGTGCCAATATTTGACAGGTGGTTCTGAATTATATAAACAAGCAGGATGACCAAGTTATGAAAAGCAAGCCATGAAGAACAAGTCAGTTGGCAGAGTATCCCAATGGCTTCTGCTTCAGTTGCTGCCTTCAGATTCTTGCCGTGGCTTCCCTGAATGATGATACATGGTTTACTATTGAAATTGTTTTGAACACTGCCTATAGACATGTGGCTTTATTTCTGGGCTCCCTAGTTTTTCTCGGTGATCTCCAAGTTACAGAGAGCTCCGGTTACTATTAGAGTTTATAATGTAATTTGAAAACAGAAAGTTCTTGGTGATCTCCGAGTTACAGAGAGCTCCGGTAACTATTAGAGTTTATAATGTAATTTGATAACAGAAAGTAGAATGAGTCCATATATTTTCTTCTTGGTCAAAGTTGCTTTTAATGTTAAAATTTCTCTTTTTTTGTAATTCCATGAAAGTTAAGATTATTTTCTGTTTCTGCAAAATACTTTTTTTCTGGTTAAGATTTTTAATGACAAATATTCTCAAAAAATTCCTGTTGAAGTGTCACTTGCATCTTGTGTGATGAGAGACAGCAAGATTGACCTCTAGATTAACACTCAAGGAAGCAATGCATGTTTATAATAAAAAGTAAAACATGTCAGAATATTAAATATAGAGTATTGTTAAAGATATCAGCATGGAAAAGCTAATATTATGATGTAACAAAAATCCCCCTTGCTTTGCAAAATTACACTGGCCCTCTCAGTGAGTCTCCATTAGAGATTAAACCTTAGTTTCAAAGCTTTTAGAAAGTTTTTTCTTTAAAATTTTTTCAAACACGTATCTTGATCATATTATTTTTCTTCCCCTAACTCCTCTCATATCCTTTCCACCTCCTTATCATCAAATACCATGTTGTTCCTTTCTTAAAATTTAAGGGGAAAAAAAAAAAACAAGAGAAAAACTACAAAAATAGTAAAAGGAAAACAACAAAGTCAGCATGAACAATAAATAAACAATTGAATAAATAAATAAAACAAAACAAAATGCACATACAACAAACCAAAAGCATGAAGTCTGTTTTCTTTGTCCAATTGCTTCTGGGTATGAGGCCTACTCCGGAGTTTATATACTTTGAGAAACTCATAGAGAAAATTGACTTTCCTTTTCCTAGTATATATCAACTATAAATATCTTCTTGATTTGGAGTTGAGCCCTGCATTCACTAATACTTTTTTGGCACTGCAACATTGTCTGGTTTGAATCTGTGCAGGTCTTGTGTGTGCTGTCACTTTGTCTGTCTGTATCAGTCCTGTTGTGTCTGAAAAGTGCTGTTTTCTTGGAGGCAACTGCTACCTCAGGCTCTTTCAATCTTTCTATCTCCTTCTGCACATTTATCCCTGAGCCTTGATGTAGGGGTTCAGTGAAAACATCCCATTTAATTCTGAAGGACATCAAGTCTCTCATTTTTTCACATTGCTCAGTTGCAGTTCTCTGCATCCATTACCATCTTCTCTAAGAAGATGAGGGTGAGTGATGGCACTGATCTATGGCTACAATACTATGTAATTGTCCATTTCGCAGCATCTATTGTTGCTATCCCTGTCCCATTAATGTTTAGGCATCCATGTTGGTGAACTTTAATGTGTGTGTCTCTTCTAGGAGATACTAACAGCAAAATCTTATACTTTTATTTTATAAGACTTACATTTGCTTGATTAGAATTATTCCAGTGTAGTTTATTCCAATTTTTTAGGTTACTGCAAAAAGTACGCTTTCATTAATTTCTTTTACAATCTGCTCATCATTTGTATATAGGAAGGCTGCTGCTTTTTTTGTGTATTAACTTTGTATCTTGCTAATTTGCTAACTGTGTTTATCAGATACAGATATTTCCTACTGAAGTCATTAGTCTCGTTTGTGTAAAATATCATTATCTGCAAAAAAGAATACTTTAAATTCTTTCTTATCTGTATCTCTTGATATCCTTTAGTTGTCAGATTGGCCTATCAGAGACATCTATTACCAGGTTTAATAGGTATGAAGAGAGCGGAGAACCTTGTCTTGTTTTTGATATTAAGGGAAACACTTTGAATTTTAACCATCCAGGTTAAAGTTGCAAGAACAATGGGAAGGGTTAGTAGTTGACCCAGAAAACTCTTTTATGTGAGTGTGGGCTGGGTATTCTGTTTTGGTATACCTCTTGGGTATTTTGCTTACCTCTTTATATTTCAGTTTTCTGTTCATGTAGGAAAACTATGAGAATATGGGGTGAGTATTCTGCCTTGACAGATCTTTATCCTTCTTCAGTGCCTGACAGACTCATGTCCCTTTGTAGTACTTGACAGACTCACATTCTCTGTCTGGTCCTGGGTCTTCTTTGGGGCAGGGGGAGGCGAGTGTTTATAAGACTTTCAATGACAACTTCTGTTTTCTTGGAG